TATTAAAAAAAATAAAAAAATCATATCCATAAATTTACACAGCGATAAAGATTAACTCTCAAAATCCCCACAACGGAAAAAAAATAAATAAATAAATAATTAATTAATAATTAAAAAAAAAATTTACCTTCTTGTAAATGGATTCCTTAGTTGGCGTCTTGGTATAAATGATAGAACCCCGTCTAGTAAAAGAAGTATTCGCTTTCCGATCCTACAAAATTCCCATAAATAAATTCAACCTCCATAATCAAAAAATGACTCAGTGAGAAAATGAACAAAAACATTTAAATAAAGCAAAAATGTACAAATTACAATGAGTGACTGAACGAGAGGGACGATCTCAACGAGGTCATTGAAGAGGACGCGGTCGACGTTGCTGGCGGCGGAGGCGTTGGCGGCGGCAGCGGAGACAGAAGACAAAGTGCTGGCGAGAGATGAATGGCCTTCACCACCAACGCCGGAGTTGCCGTCGGAGAGCCATGACTTGGGATCCGACCCGAATCCATTGTTGTCCTGTAAATCCAGTAAATGTTGTTCATACATTTTTATTTTTTTATTTTTTCAAAATTGAATTGATTTCTTGTGTAATTGGAAAGCAGTTTTGGAGTAGGACTGAATAAGACTTGATTTTGAATCTTTCCCTTGGCGTTTCATTTTCCAATTTTTGAAAAAATTAAAATAATAGTTGGGTTCGGGTCAACTAACCCAGCCCAACTCCACAAAGGCCTTTAGTGTCTATGAACACTGGTTAATCCACTTTACACCTTGAGCCCCTATTTGAGCTCCATTTTAATGTGATTTTAGAAAAAAATGTATTTTAAAATAGTGATTTTTTTGGAGAACGTGTAACTAAAAATTAAAAAAAAAATTTGAATTTTTGAATTTACGTATAATATTACATTGTGGAAAAATGTGATTGAAAATAAATCTTGAAAAAATGTATTCTGAAAATAATGGATGTTGAGTCTTGTAGAACTTCCCACTAACTTTGTTTAATTATATAAAGAAATTTCCATTGAGATCAAACTAAAGGAATGGATGGGAACACTATGTTATCAATCTTTGCCTTGACAAATATTGAAATTGCATAACTATAGACATGACAAGCTGAAGTCGATTATATATAATAAAGACCGATGTTTCTTCGAATTTTTGATTGATTGGTTGTGATAGTTTATCGATACTTGTTATCGCACTAAAGTTCCTCAAACAAAATAAAAAATTGGTTACTAGAGAAATGAACTTTACATATTGAAACGGCATATCAAAGGAAATGCCTTATTGAATTGCTCCTCCCTATCTTCTTTGCTTTGCATGAGATTCAATTCTCTCTTTTTTCATAGTCGGTTAAAAATAAGCTTGAACTTTGTCATATTTTAGTTTCTTGCATACATATGTTTGTGGGTAAAATTCACCAATTTCCACATAAGTTCATAATGATTTCAAAGACCCTTACGATTTTGAAATGGGTTGGTTTATTCAAAGGGTAATTGGCGCAAAACATCCTTACCTTTCGAGGTTATTGTGGAAAACGTCCCTACCTTTCATTTTTTGGCATTTTTGCCCTTATTTACCACCTTTCTTGCGCTGAAGGTCCTTTTCACTGTTTTTTGACGATTTTGTCCTCTATTCAAATAAAAGAAAAAGAATAGAATAGAAAACAAAAGAATTAATTGCAACTAATACCCCAAAATTTCAAAAAATTACAAATTAGTAATAAATATAGGAGTTAATAGCCCAAATGGTTACTAAACTTTGCCAAAGGTCCAAAAAGGTCATTGAACTTTTTTAAATACAAAAAGAAAAAAAACCAAAAAAACCAACAAAAAAAATTGAAGAAACGGACCCCACCAACAAAAAAAGGACAAAAAAATAAGGAAGGTGAAAATGGAGGAAGGTGAAAAGTAAACCAAAAATTATTTTTTATTTTTTCAATCATACATTTTTAATCAAAATTTATTAAAAATTTTATTTTTAGCAAAACTAATCTGTATTTTTTTCTTTATTTTTAAAAATAAAAGCCCGTTTCTTCAATTTTTTTTGTTGGTTTTTTTTTCTTTTTGTATTTAAAAAAGTTCAATGACCTTTTTGGACCTTTGGCAAAGTTTAGTAACCATTTGGGCTATTAACTCCTATATTTATTACTAATTTGTAATTTTTTAAAATTTTGGGGTATTAGTTGCAATTAATTCTTTTGTTTTCTATTCTATTCTTTTTCTTTTATTTGAATAGAGGGCAAAATCGTCAAAAACAGTGAAAATGACCTTCAGCGCAAGAAAGGTGGTAAATAAGGGCAAAAATGCCAAAAAATGAAAGGTAGGGACGTTTTCCACAATAACCTCGAAAGGTAAGGATGTTTTGCGCCAATTACCCTTTATTCAAACTACATCTTTCATAAATACATCACGTCTTAATTATGCTAAACGTCCGTAATCTTTATTCATTATTTATGTCCCTAATTTTTTTATCACATCATATCCTTAATATTTTATTGATCAACAAATCTTGCCTTTGGTGACAATTTTCGTCCAAAATTTTTATTATTATGCTTTAAGATGAGTGATAAGTATCTAGTAGCAATTTTATATATGAAGATTGAGGTGAAAAAATTAGAAACACAAGTGTGTCAATGAGTAAATTTTAGGAGTGTTTCGAGTAATTAAAATATAGTCATTTATAAAAATTAAAAAAAAAATTAAAGAGAAAAAAAGAGTAATCTATTTCCACCATATTTTTATTTGTTGCACCACACTTTAGCCCCCGTTTGGTCCCCATTAATTTCCATTCCATTACATTTCATTTTTCTCTCTTTTATTTTCAACCATACAATCTTCTATAAAGAATATTACACGTAAATTGAGAATTTTTCCTTCTTTTTCAACCACTCTTTTGAAAAAAAAAACATTATTCCACCTATTTTCATTTCCACAAAATGGGGGCCAAACAGGGATTAATTGCAACTAAGGTTTTAAATATTTTCTTATTGTAGAACTAATGTCTCTAGTTTTTTCGTCAAATTCTTACATTCTAACTTCGGGGCCGTTTGGTAGGGATTTTGAGAATTAATTTTTTGACCGTTAGAAGAAAAGTAGGATCCACATGTAAAAGAAGAAGTCAAAAATTACGGCTTGAATAGTAAAATAACGGTCAAAAAATCAATTTTTGGGAGCAAAAAATCCCTACCAAACGGGGCCTTCCATCAATTAATACATCTCGTCTTTGATGATGGTTATTGTTTGAGCCCCATTCTTTTTATCAGAATGAATTTTTGAATAGTATATTAGTGGGAAATGTATGATTAAAAAATAAAGAAAAATTTTGAATTTTCATGTAATAT